TGTGGAGACAGAGACTGTCCTGTTTTATGCCAAATCCTCCTTACTCAAYTCAGGCTTGGCTCTACCAGCCTGTGATTTGGAATGAACTTGTGTAAGCTTTACCTTTATGAAACAGTGCAATTGCATTTCAACATTGCTTTGCAGTCTGGATGTAACATTTTGATAARCCAACACAGCAGCTCAGAAATGTTGACCCTCTCCGTGTAAATAAACAAACTCCCTGACAGCTTCCTTCTGTGTTTTATACRAGTGCTGGATGTTTTGCTTGTTTTTGTGTCTGCATAGAAAAAGGCAGTATAGAGTTGTGATTCAAGACAGAAAGCAAGCTCAAATCTTAATGCAGCAGAAGTATATCTTTCAGAAATTTTTTGCAGGATGTATTGAGTCAAATATGGTCATCCTTCTTTACTAAGGTAAGAGAATAAGAGGAGAGGTACAAAACACCAGTTGTGAAAACTCCTCTGAGGTGTCCCCTTCTGGCCGAGGTGGAAAGCAAAGTCAAGTTAAACTCTGTTAAATTTTACTGAAGAGTGAGGGGTTGCCAGCCCTTGAATAAGCTGATCAGCTGCTTTGACTTGGGAAGGAGTTCTGGAATAGTTCAGGATAGAATGAGCACTTTATTTCTTTATTAAATGGTAGAAGCTGTCGGTGCTGTGGACACTCTAAACAGAGTTTGGTGTTCTTGGGGGCTTTCTGCGAGCTGAGCTTGTCACTCACCCAGCAATCCCAGAAGTGAGGGGAATTTGACAGGTTCAAAGATTCTGCTTCTAAGGCCCACTATAGGAACATACATGTTAGGATAAAATATGCTTGCCTAGGTGTCAGTTTGAGTTCTCATCARCACATGAACATTAAATTACATTTAAATTGCGATTGGTTACGTATGAACTTGAGATATTTCTGACATGCAGACACTGAAAATTGTAGTCATTTATATTTAGACGTGGGAGTGTTTCTTTAGCATCTTAACTACTGTTCTGGGACTTAATTTTAGACACACCCACTTTAAAATGTTTGYTTTGATTTCTCATTGTTTAATTTGCAAAAGCATATGTGTTTTTAAAGTGCTTTAAAATCTTAGGACAGRGAACATCTATAATTATTAATCATTTCATTAATTCCTCATTAATTTAAAATGCATTATTTAACAGTAGATCACATTTTCCTGTTCTGTTGTGTACAAGGTAGTTTATTACTTTCATTCCTGTTAGAGAACAACCCTTTGTATCCTCTCTGGATACAAAATTGGGTTGGGGATGGAGATAGAAAAGTCAGGCTGGAAGTGCTGAGTGCCACTGCCAAACGGGATTTTTGTTTCTTTAGTACAGTTTACCTACAGACCAGTGGTGTTAATGGTGTATTTGTGTTGTGGAGTGTCTTTTACTTTTACCACAGAAGTGAGAGGTACCATCCTCTTTAGAATGGGCTGATGTGGAGAGTTRTATTTTCCTGAAAAGGAACGTAAATTGTGTCCAAATGAAGCCCTGCCCTTTTCTGGCTCGCAGCCCAAGCAGCAGCAGCTCCAAAGGAACAGGAACAGCAAAAGGGCCGAGCACACGTGAATTGTCGGGTGCCCGGGAGGAGCTGATGCCCTTGAGTCACGGATTGTCCAGCGAGGAGACCGCTCACCCTCCCCCTGGACAGGAGCGACTGCTCAACGCTGACACCCAGCATTCTGCCACGGGTATTTCCACTTCTTTAGCTCTTCTTAAAAACCTGCTAAACTTATCTCTTAACTCTTTATGGCAGCTAATTTGAACATTCCTAATATTTGAAATGACAATAGTGGGGCTAAGAGCTACTTGCACTGCGYGTGCTGCATGATGTGTAACTATGCTCATCATGCAGAATACATTAATAAATCAGAATAGCTCCTATAAATTCAGAGAAAGAAGAAAGTTACTGATGCTGGAGAAGTATTTTCTTAAAGAAAATGGTTTACATTTGAAATTTGAAAACTATTTTCTAATTCCATGAAGCGGACTAATATATTAACTGTATTACTGCTTTTTAAGAAAGAGATGTCTAAAAAAAACCCTTTCTTTAATGCAATCTCCAGCTAACTTAAAATTTAAGGAGATGTTAATGGCACGTATTCAAATTTATAGTATTATTCAAATGAGTTTTTGTAATATGTGTGACAAGCTTGACTTTAGTTCTGTCCACAGTGTGTAGAAAGATGCTTTTTCTCAGAAGGCAGGAGAATTTTATGGCTTAAGATTCCTGTGTAGCAAACTCTAGAGATACAAATTCATATTTCTTTGCTTGAACAGGATAGCATATTTGTTTTAGTTATATTATATTAGCTCTAGTTTAAATTGTGTTTGGAAACATGGATTATTTTTCATTTTTGAAATGKCAGGATGTTTTTCAACATGAGGAGCTTGTAATTTACACTGTTATGCCACTCAGTACACTGAATTAGTGTTATAATGATGTAACAGCATGGAGAATAGTCATTTCCTGTGTCTGAAATCCAAAAACCAATATATAAAATAAGAAAAACACCACAAACAAAATTATAAAATATTAACTAAGTGATGGCAAAAATAGTCCATAATTTTGTGTGCTGTGGCTGYATTTTCTGTTGCTTTTCTAGAACTTTTTTGTCACCCTGGAAGTGACAGAGCTACCAGCCAAGCTCAGTTTCTGCCTGAGCCCTGCTGAARCCTGGTGTAAATGGCTGAGAGCAAACTGTGCTTACCACACACCACCAGTTGCTTTCTCCAGCTATGAGAAAACCAAAATAATCTGCAGAGATTGGRTCCATATTCCTGTACTGGGCTGCAGGCACCAGTTGGCTCCCATGTTATGGTGACATGACTGATTTCAAGTTATTTCTTCTGGATTTCTCTTTGGGGATATAAGAGCCTAGATCTTAATGTGCAAAGGCCAAGCATGGAATTAATATATCGGATGTTCATGAGTTTTCAAGGATAAAATTATTAAACCAAGCATTCAAAAATCATAGCTCTTAAGGTTATATAATTATAATGGCTCTAAAATCCTGTAATTTCTCTTCATTTCTATATAAATATAGGGATATGAGGAAAAGACTAAATTTTAGAATATAAAAGCATTCAGACTTATACGTAGAAATCCCATCACCACAATAATGAATTTATACATTCAGAATGTATTAATAAAAATAGTATAGGAGCATTGTAACGTGGCAGTAATTGAAATTAGCCTGATCTCAGAGCATTTGCAGGAATTTTCAAGACTCCTCTCTGTTGCAGCCGTGATGCCAGAGGGACCCACAGAAGAGCTCCCCAGCAGCCAACACGATGAGAGYCCAGGGACTGAGCCTGCTGGGCTGGGGGGCTCCAGGAGCAGCAGGACCATGGTGACAGGAGGAGGGGGATACCTGGGGTACAACCTGGGCTGTGCCCTGGTCAGCTCAGGAATCGCCGTCGTGCTCTTCGATCTGCACCGGCCTAAATGGGAAATCCCAACAGGAGCCGACTTTTTCAAGGTATCTTGGAGTTATGTATTTAATGGTTATTATCAAGGCTTCCTTTTAMGGATTTTTGGTTAAAATATTCACTGGAAGAAGCCATGGTAAAAGGTTAGGGGGGCAAACAGGGTCCCAGTGGCAGCGTCTCTGTGTCACCAGTGATGCTCTGTCGGGAGCTGCCTTTCAGCACCCCAGGGTGACAGTGAACAATGACGGGACACGGGGAATTATTTCAACTGAAAAGGTGAGGGCAAAGACAGGGCAGTGGAAGGGATCACAAATGCAGAATGACTGCCATGCAGAGAATGACTGAGCAATTGGGATTTCCTGAGATAAGAGGTGATTTGGGAGCGGGACAGCTCTGCAGACTGTGAGCAGCATTGGGATGGAGAGGGATGGGTCACTGAAGGATTTACTTCCACTAGAAATTGCTACATCGATAAATTAATTTAGCTCAAGAAATCTGAATGAAAATACTTCAAGACTGGATGAGTATTCTGGGGGAAAGCAGCACATTTGCTTGCCCTGTTCAGTCTTCCCACAGCACCCATTGATGAGCACTGTGTGGTGATRGACTGATGGCAATTTCCATCTTCTTAAGGTGACTTGAGATCCTACCAATGATCTTCTAGACAGCATTTTTTTTATAAATCCATTTTAAAAGGATAAATATTAAAGAGTGTAAGAGAGTTACCTGGAAAATGGAACTACATAGTCCTAGCAAATGAATGAATAAGTGACTCTGGAGGCCTGAGCCTTGCCCAGTGGTTTGGAGGTGGCTGATGTTGTTTATACTGGTGAGCTCCTTCAACACTGCACTGAGGTGGGTGGAACTGTAAGCMAGCTGCATTTGTGAAATACTTTGGCAACCTCAGGAGAAAATGTTCAGAGTTAAAGACTAGATTAGCTCTTAATATTACCTTCAGCTGCTTGTTTGGGAGTTATTCTGTCAAGTACATTACAGAAAACAAAATAATATCTAATATTTTGAAATATCTGAATTCTGGAGATAAAGGTACTGTTATTTTTTGTGATATCTGCCTGTATGGGGATTACTATTAATGCAGTATTACCTGGTATACAAAAATGCAATTTAATATTCTATCCTACCACAGTATTTAATACTAGATACAGGTGTGTTCGATGATCTGTTGAATTTCATAAATGTGATTATAGCACCCTAAAGTATTAAATATGTAGAGAGTATACTGGGTTTTTTAACCTTGTGCAAAGCCATAATTAAATTTATCRTACACTGCACTAAAAACCCTTAGATTGATACAGTGACATTTGTGAACAGCATAGATGAGATCCCAAGTTGCCAAGGGAAAAGGGGTTCTCATATTTGGTGATCCCAAGGCAAGCAGCTGAACCCTTCCTGCAGTGATTTATTGTCCCTGGGGCTGGATTCTSCAGCCCTTGAGCCCTTGCTGCTCCCATTCAAGTCAAACAAGTTTTGCCAGCCTGGAGGCTGCAGGACTAAGTGTGAAAATACGCATTATAATCGAAGCCAACAAGAGTCATCTTTGTTTTGCAACAAAATACTGGCAAAATTCTTAGTCATTGATTTTTCTGCCTGTTCATAATGTTTTATTTAACTGTAGTTAAGTTTTGTGAAAAATAGACCAGGATATATTTAGATTTTTGTTACCAGCCATTGTGAATATAGAGAATGGCGGGAGCCCTACCTGTCAAAAATCCCTTCTTTTCTCATTTTGCAGGGTGATGTGAGGGATTATGAAGCAGTGTTCAAAGCATGTGAAGGGGTTGACTGTGTTTTCCATGTAGCTGCATGTGGAATGTCAGGATCAGAACAAGTAAGTACCATTTTCCTAAACTTTTCTTTGATTATTTTTGAGAGAGAAAAAAATGGTCTGCATGTAACAAAGAAGGTAATTTTAGGGTATTTTTGTCAGCCAGAAGTTGTTATAAAGGTTAAGTCATCCATACTGGCAACAAGGGAGATATTCCTTAAATAATAAAGTGGAAGTGTGAGAGTAATGTACTACAAAATATTCTAGGAAAATGARATAAGAAGGTATATCCTCTTTCTCTAATCTGAAGAAATGTGACAGCATTGCTCTGGAACTAATATTGATATATTTTCTTCTTGTGATCTCAGTCATGAGCAAACACCTCAATCAATATGTTATGCTCTGAGAGTGTTATCAAAAAAGGTCGTGAACCTATGAATTATTTTAGGAATGGGACAGATTGCCCCTGGAACAAAAATTTGTCAAAGCTTTCAGGGAGCATAACCCCTGCCTGTAATTCTTGTCCTRTATCATGGATTATCTGGGGAGTGACAAAATATTGAAGCATTATTATTACCTTTTAGATGCATTTGATCTTCCATTTTTCAACTTTCTTTACTCGTACACTGAAGGAGAGAATAAATATGAGGATTGCCAGGAATCAGTGTATGATAGACAGATAGACATTTGTATAATGTACATTACAAAAAGGCCTCAGCCATTCTAGATCTGGCAATTGTAACCATCATTTTGTGAATGGGACTTGTTTCATTAATTAAATCCTGTGCAAATTCTATTTCTAGCTTCAAAAGAAAGATCATATTGAATCCATAAATGTTGGAGGCACAAAAATAATAATTGATGGTAGGTACCTAGATTTTTTTTCTTTGCATCTGATCCAAACCATGAATTGCAGAACTTTCTAACTGGATGTTTCCTGTGAAGAGCAGGCAGTGAAGTGAGGCTCTCCTCTCCCTTCTCAGAGTGTGATGCAAACCTGGGAGTGCAGGTCCCATTAAAGGTGGTTGATTTGTCACTGGTTTGAACTGGGGATAGATGTACAAGACTGGAATCTATAATTAAGTCTTTGCTTTGCAAATCACATGAATTTCCTTTGTATTTAAGGCACTGCTGATGATACACCAGCAGGGTATGTTTTGTGTTACACATCTTTTGTCACRAACAGAATGAGCCACAGGCAGTTTGTGGCACTGGGGAAAACTGGGCCCTGCTCYTGTGTGACTTCATGTTCCATCCAAGTTAAAATACTACCTTTCTCCATAAATGTATCTGTTTTATAAACATAAAATCTTCCAGTTCAGTTATTTTTTTCCTCTTTATTTTTGCTTTAAAATAATTTCTTTTGTATATCTTTGTAGTCTGCAAACAAAGAAATATCCCTAGACTGATATATACCAGTACAGTGAATGTGGTGTTTGGAGGGAATCCTATTGAAGAAGGAGATGAAGAAACTGTTCCATATTTCCCACTGGAAAAGGTACTTGGTTCATGGGATGGTTTGGCATTTACTGTGCTCTAAAGGATAGACTGTGTGAAAGCTGTTCTGAGAGCAATTGTCTTACTGTAGATGTTCTCAGTACATTCAGCACAAAAAGTAAGTTAAATACTAATGGACTTACTCTGAAGCTAAACTTGTGCTACTACAGTGTGTTTTTTTTGTCAAAACCAAACTATATATACTAAATCTTATTATTTCTAGTTTTGTTTTGCTCAGTTTATATCTATCAGTTGGCTAGATTGGAATGTTGTCAGTCATACACAGTAAATTTGCCATTATTGATTCAATAATTATCTTATTCTGCTTTCTTTATAGCAATTTAATCATTATTCTAGAACCAAGGCAATTGCAGACCAAATGGTTCTTGCTGCTAATGGAACTTTACTGAAAGGTACACACAAAGCATTTGRGGTTTTTCTGTCACTGGGAGTGCTAATGAGAATACCTTATCAATAGCATGCTTTAACTGCAATATTATTTAGCTTGTTTCTGCTTCTCCCTTTGTGGAGATTTAGCTTTTGTGCTRCCAGCAATGTGTAATGAGATGCTCACAGTGCCTGTTTTCTCTCTCCAAGGAGGGGACAAGCTCCACACGTGTGTGCTTCGCCCCCCGGGCATCTACGGACCAGAAGAGCAGCGGCACCTGCCTCGAGTAGCCGTATGTGTTTTGTAGTCAGCTCTGGAGGACACCACAAGTAGTTGTAAGGGCACAACACCAGCAGAGTACCTTGATTGCAGGGATGTGCTGAAAGCTCAGGGATACGTGATGTGGTGCAGGGTAACAAACAGCAGAATCCTGTGGGCCAGGGTCAAGCTGGGCTTTTCAGTGAAAAGAAAAAATGGAAGGCTGAAATGCCATGGTAGAAGCAGTAGGCTTGCATCCCTGATTGTTTAATGGCTTTTAAATATGCACTTTTTTTTCTGCTAAACGATATAACGTCACCATATTTGTCCCTGCCTATCAGTGCCACAGTCTTTAATACACTAAACCACCCACTAATTGGGCTTTTTTTSTGACACATTTCTTGTGCTGCAATTGTACATAAATACAGCAAATTCCAAGTATGTGGGGTGAGACAAAATCAATGTTACACTGCATAATAAAGGAATAATGTAGTTATCTCATGTTTTCTGTTTCTACAGRTAAATATCCAGAGGAGACTTTTTAACTTCAAGTTTGGGAATCACAAAGTTCAGATGAACTGGGTTCACATAGGAAATCTAGTGCAAGCTCATTTACTGGCTGCTGAGGCTCTCACCTCTGAGAAGGGCTATGTAGCTGTAAGTAAACCATATAATCAYTGTGTTTGTCTCATGAGAGAGACAGAAAATGCTATCCAGTGTTTTATCAATGTTTTTCTCTGCTTCTTTACCAGAGTGGTCAGGCTTATTACATCCACGACGGTGAAAATGTCATCTTCTCTGAGTGGATCGTGCCTCTGGTACGTTCTGCACAGCCCTGCAGCTCCCAGCACYGCCTGGGCACAAGGCCTGGCACTGACTGCACACCAGAACAACTCAGTGAAGCTCAGTGCACATCCATTACTGAATTCCTTCCCWTTAAACTCATCCTGTTCTCCCCGCACATCCCAAAGCTCCCCTGGTGTGAAGGGAAGGTTTGGATATGAGGAACAGTGGAGTTTGGCCCCATTTGTGAGCATTTAGCAGAGGTCCAGACTGTTCTGTGAGGCCAACCCACGCTGTGCACAGCAACACAACCTGCCAGGGCTGCTGCCATTGCTGCTCTCTGTSCTGGCAGCAGTGCAGYGCCCAGGGAAGCCCATTCACAATCTTATCTTACAAAAAAGACAACACTGTATTTTCCAAAGTGTCAGGCTGGGATTGAAGAAGCATGCCAAAGTTCTGATCCTGCAATGCCATCACAGAAAGTGCCTGCAGGAGAGCAGTGGGGCTGCATTGAACTGTAGTTCAGTGTTGCAGGCTGGGTCACTGCGTTCTGTGCCCTTCACTGTCCAAYTGCACATGGAGGGTGGGAGGTGGCACCAAAGAATGAGTAGTGGGTTTCAATTGCTTTTCTTACTACCAGTATTCATAGGAAGACTAGCTGGGAAAACAAGTTTAGATACAAGTTTTATCAACGTTCTTTTTTTTTTTGCCATTTTCATGTTTCATTGACACCCTAAATTTGGTATAAGTTCTCTGTTATTCTTTCCTTTTATACCCTTTCTAGTTTGAAAAATTAGGSTACAGGAAACCCTGGATACATATTCCTGTTCTCCTGGTTCATATAGCAGGTAAAAAAAAATTCTTAATTATTGTGGATGGTTTGGTTATTTTATTCCTATAAAGCTACATAGTGGCTTTACAAAATGCAGGGGCCCAAACTGTAGCAATTATTTAACTTAATATTATTCTAATCAATAATAATCACTTGTGCCATTTGCTATTRATTATACCAGATAAAGTTTAAAGGCTAGTGATAAACTCATCATGTTCTTCAGGAATTAAACAGTGCCTTCTACCAGTAGGAATTATTGGATATGCAATGTCAGCRTTGTCTCAGTTTATTGTTATCCAGCTGTCTCATTAAGTAATTTTCTGTTTCACAGCCACTGTGATGGAATAYCTGCACTTGATACTGAAGCCAGTTTTCAGCTTTACACCTTTCCTGACAAGGAATGAGGTAAATGTACAAAAAGAGAGAATGTTTATAGATTCGTGACTAAAATTCTCATGAAGGATGTGATACACCCTTCAGATTGTCTGAATACAGATCTGGTTTCTGTTCAGTTTCCATTGGAGTATCATTGCTGATATAGTTTCATCCAAGTTGTAGAAAACTGGATATTSAAGTCACTGCCATAACTGTCCTTTTGGATTTCAGGTGTGGAATGTCACTGTAACTCACACTTTCCGAATAGACAAGGCACGAAACCAACTCGGTTACAAACCAAAGAAATTCTCATTCGCTGATTCTGTGGATCATTATCTAAAAACAAGACCTACTTGCCAAGAAGATCACACATTCCTTAAAATGGTGTTTGTGTTTGGCACTTTGTTAAGTTTGRTCATTCTTTCTTTCTTCTAAAACCAAATAACCACCTACGTGTTCCAGAAAACCTCATTTTGTTTCTGAGTATTAATGATCTGGTCCTCAGCAGATTCCTCAGCCACTCTGGACTKTGTTACTCTTACTACTATGATGACACCTCTCTGATCTCATTAAGAAAAAAMCAACCAAAGAAAAAACAGCCTACAACAGTGAAAACATGGGACATGTCAGGAAATGTTTCCCAGGAGCAACACAGCATTACATCAGAGGAGTTCACCAAATGGATACAGGAATTGTTTTAATGGATCTTCATTAATTGATTGTTTCATGCTGGGAAGCATTTTCTAAAAATGGTTATTCAGGAGGGTGAGAAGTTGGAAAAAGAGGAACTATTACAGGACAGCAATGCTGTAACAAGTCCAGTAGCTCCAATGAAGAAAAGGGTGACTGAAAAACTCTTCTGATGAAGCCACTGCTACAGCTACTGTCAGTTAGTCTGAGGAATTGCAGAGACCTGGGAAACAGTGCAAAAAATATGGAAAGTAAATATTTATAAATAATAGATGATTAGAGGAATGAAAATAGTATTTATGTAAAATAGTTGTATTGTTCTAAAGTTTTGTAAAGATGTAATAAATAACTTTGTGTGTTTGTAAATCAAATCATATCCTTTCAATGCAATAATAAATAATAACTGAACCAAATACTGTTTTTAAGGAGCTTGTGGGAAGGGAAAGTTCAGCCAGCTGTTACTGCTTCTTGGGTGGATTGCACTGGGTGAGCTACAGGTACACACCAAGTGTAGCCCAGACAAACTCTGCAGAAGTTACAAGCTTTTTCTTAGGAACCAGCTTTGTTGTGACCAGGGRGCAGCTGCTCCCTCTCTTGCACCCCACATGGAGCAGGAGAGCTGGATTTACCAGGGTAGGTCACAGAAGGGAATGACAGGAAAGCTCTGCCATCTGATTATCTCCACTCTSTATTTATTTTGCCTTTTGTTAGCATTTTACAGGATTTCTAGATTAGTTTTATAAATCTTTCATATCACTTTTATTGGACTGATAAGCTCAGGATACATCTGTGATTACACCAACATTTTTCACCAGTGCGGGCTCTGACCTTACTCGGACACTCAGAAAGGACTAACCAAGGACTGGCTTTATAGTTCTAAGTCCCCATGGGGTCCCTTCATTTCAGTCCTGTAGCACCAAACCTGTGGTTTGTTATTTTGGGTAAGATGCTTTTCACATTATTGTTAAAACAGYGCTGATTAACAGGAACTGGCTTTGGTACATGGATTTATCTTTCTTACAGATGCAGCGCTTGAGATTTTACAACAATCCTCAGTACCAGCTGGGAATAGCCAGCTCTCTCATTTCTGTGGGTCTTTACTGAGTCTCAGTTTAAGTTGGCTCTTGTCTGAATTACTCCTGCTCTAACATAACTGCAATGTGTCTTTAAGTGATTAAAATTTAATGTGAACATTCAGACATGGCACAGCTGTAACGAAAGAGGTAAACATGTTCAAAACTTAATTTTTGCCTGGAATGGGTAACTGAAATTCTTTAGTTAGCAGCTCCTGACCCTTTTCACACCTTCCCAGGCTGGAATGACCACAGCGAGGCTCAGGTGGGAAGGGACATTAGTGGCTATTTATTTGCTCTTCTTTGGGAATTCCTGCTGGTTTGCAGCTCTCTCAGATGTTCTGCATCTCTCTGTGCCATGTCCTGCCACCGACCGTCCAACCAGTAGGCAGGAGGTGGCACTTGGTCCTGAACAACCTGCTCAACAGGTCCCTCAGTGTGGCCGGAGCCCTCGCTAGCGACAGGACGCGTTTGGGTAGCGGTCACAGCTGTGCGAAGACACTTGGAGGTAAGAACCACCATAGGATGCTGTGGAATCCCAGGGATGCTCTGGCAACCCAGGAAAGCCGTGGCATGCTGTGGGATCCCCGGGATGCTGTGGGACGAGCAGAATCCCAGGGATGCTGTGGATTGAGCAACATCCACAGCAGGAAAGTTGTACGATGCTGTGGGATCCCCGGGATGCTGTGGAATGAGCAGCATCCCAGGAACGTTGTGCGATCCCAAAGGTGCTGCCAGGTGAGTGGGACCCGGTGGTGCTGTGGGACCCCAGGGATGCCGCGGGACCCCCGAAAGCCCCGTGGCCGCTGCAGGACTGGCGGCGGGGCCGGGCCGGTTCCCCCTGGGTTCCCCCTGCCCGCAGCGCTCCCGCGGCCGCTGCCCGTGCCCGGCCCGGCCGGAGCCGCAACCCCCGGGCCCAACGGCCCCAACGGCGGCCCCGCGGCAGCGCCCGAGGCCGCGGGCACGGCGGGGACCCGGCCCGAGCTCCGCTCCCTGCGCTGTGCCGGCCCGGCCCATTTGCAAGTGAGATGCAGAGAGCCCCGGCGGGGCTCAGGTGCCTTTGAATGTTTAATTGTGGCCGGGGCAGGGATGGGGGTGTCGGAGGGACTCGGTAGTCACAGCCTCTGAAATGTCCTGACTGCCGGTGAGGAGCCCACAGAAGGGCAAGAACTCCTATGTTCAGGAAATAAGTGATTCGTTATAACTTTTTTTTTTCTTGATGCAGTTATTAACCCTTTCTATAGCATAGCAGCTATTTTGATCGARTTTCCCTCGAAAGCAAGAGATTTCATAGCCTTGTTCTCTGATACACCTTCTAAAGTTATAATGTAAGGATCAGGCATCCCTCTTTCCTCCTGAAATCCTCATCTATCTCAACTCCAGCATTGCCAATGATAACAATTCACCATATTCTTACTTTATATTTAGCTGCTGGTACCTAGAAAGAAGCTGGAAGTACCACTTCCCTTAGATATCTGTCTTGGCAATAAACTGGGCACTGTAAATTTTGTTTTGCWTTTGTCTTTATCTCTCTAAAAGAARTTGCATTATAGTCAGGTTTTGCTGCTGTGAATAGATCTTGTTAACGTGAATCTCCTTTAAATCGTCTGCATCCAGGAGTGCTATGGAGCAATTTTCCCCATATAGGAGAAATAGTTATGTATCTGGTAGTGGCAGCAGTATTTGAATATCAGGAAACTTGTAATTTGTAGAGGAGCAACAGCCTATCACCCATTCTGTGTCTCCAAAAGGACCAGAAATGCTCCGGCACTGAACAGAAGCAGCATGAGAGCCGTGGTGACAGGAGGAGCTGGCTACTGCGGGTACAAGCTGGGATGTGCTCTGGCCAGCACGGGAGCCTCCGTGGTTCTGTGTGACATCCACAARCCTATGTGGGTTATTCCCAATGGAGTGGTGTGGATCCAGGTATGAGAAATCATATCAMCTGTCAAACTTAGTTCACTTGCCTTTTCCATGATGTCTTACTAGTTTTCACAGAATCCAAATACCTCATTGCCAATTATTTCAAATTTCAGTAACCTTTTTAACTGTGTGAACATCCCACATGAGTTTTGGTGAATGGATTTTAGTACATCTGAAATCCAGAAACCAGTGAAATGTGTAACACATGGAGCGGTTTCACTCCTGACTCCTCAGGATCCTGCCCTCATCTATGCCTTAATCAGCTGTAGAATAAACACAGGAGTATTGTAAACCTTAATAAATGTCCTTAAAGTCCTTTGGGTTCTATGGAAAAAAAATTGTCATTATCAGCAAGTATTGAGGTGTGCCCAATTTTAAGTGCCAGGATATACAGCTAGTAAAGTTCTATATATTATAAGTATGGATTCCCTCTGTGCTAACCCAGTGTATGACAAATGCTCACCTGCAGCTTTGCTTTCAAGTGCAAGTATCTTTTTTTGTGTATTACAGACAGATATCAGAGATTACAGTGCTGTGGTTGCAGTCTGTGAAGGGGCTGACTGCGTGTTTCACGTGGCMTCATATGGAATGTCAGGAACAGAGCAAGTGAGTCCACATGGTTCTGTTTTTTTTCTGTGTGACTGCCCACAGTGAGGGTGAGAGACCGRATGCATGACACATTTTATCTTTTCATATTGCCCTGGTGTTTTGGTAAAWTGCCCTGTGCCAATTGGAGTGCCCAGGCTGCTTGCAGAGTGATTTCCCCTCCATCTGAGGCTGCAGCAGCACCCTGGAAGGTGTTTGAGATGAAAATGGYATTGAAAAGTTCTGAAATATTGTGGAGACAAAAGGAAGGACAAGGGAAGCTGGTTCCCTCCAAAACCCCAATTCTTCCCTACACCTTCACATGGATCTTCTAGGTGTAAAGTCACTAGGACTTTAAGGAATAAAATCTGAACTAAATTATAAATTATTTCATATATCTAAATTATAACAATGACAGTATTTCAAGTCTTTTTTTGCCATTGGGTAGAAAGCTGTAAGCATGGACTCGATGTAGGACACTGAGTCACAATTTTATAATTAAAGTTACAAGCACACATACACACACATACACACACATACACACACACGCAGACATACACAAACACACCCCTTTTTACCTTATTTACTAAGAGGAACTTTAGTAATTACCCTGTCTGGATAAAACAGCTCACTCAAAGTTGTTTACCACTGAGCAATGTGTGATTGGAATTGCTCTGGGTACAGGAAACTGGTCACTGAAGTGCTACTGAAACACAGATATTTAACAYACTGCTGCAAGATATATAATAACTGGACATGTATTTTTAGAAGCACCACAATCCTTTCTGCTTCAAGCAGAGTGGTCTGTAAAAATATACGAAAAACACAGGTATGGTTTAAAAACAATTATTAGACTTAAGCCTGAAACAGCAGTGTAGGTGACATTTTTAATAATCAAATAACTAAATTATGTATTTTGGCACATTTATAACATCCCCCTATTGAATTTAATATGTTTTATTAACTAAAAAATGCACCATTTCTTCTTCTTCTAGTTGCGTAAAGATCTGATTGAAAGTGTAAATATTAATGGAACAAGATTCATCATTAATGGTACGTATTTAACTGTGCCMCTGGGTGTTAGTACAGCATATCATATATTTAGAGAAAGCCAGTTGGCCTTTTTGGCACACTGTTTGCTGTCAGCCACTGTGCACTGTTGGCAGAAAATGAGAAAACACATCATGGGTGGGTTATGCTCAATTCTGCTACGAGCTGTGATAGCAGAGCCAGCAGTGTAGTTCAGCTACTTCAGCTTTTCAACACCTTGTTTGCCTGGTGTCAGAATCAGGATCTGTGTAAGCAGTTCCACGATTCCCTGTGTGTTTTGCAGCAGTTAAACTGGTTGCCAACAGCTTGTACACAGTGGGCAGCCCGTGATGCCCAGCTGAGCAGGCTGGAGAAGCTCTCCTGAGGCACAGGGAGGGCACCCAGCTATGATGTGCCAGACAGTAAAGCACTTGCTGCTACACTGATGTCATCCCTTTAAATATGCTTTGCATTTCAACTCACCCAGTCACAGAATGGAAGGTTTTTCTCTTTTAAGGGTTGATGCTTTCTTAGAAAAACGTCACACAAATTTTTTTCCCATATTATTTTCCATTAAAGTAATTGAATTTATACTTTGCTACAGCCTGCAAAGAACAAAACATCGCTCGACTGGTCTACACCAGCACAGTAAATGTGGTGTTTGGAGGGCTTCCTATTGAAGATGCRGATGAGGAATCTCTGCCATATTTCCCAAATGACAAGGTATTTCCATTGTATTACATTTTCAAATTTCCTCTTTGTTTACTTCTGTGTTTCTGAAAAAGCCTGGAGTTTTCATGATGATGTTTTGCCTGATGCCATAATAAAGGCACAAGAAAGGCCAGGTGGGATGAGAGTTTGAGCAGCCTGATCTAGAGGGAGGTGTCCCTGCCATGGRAGAGAGGGCTGGAACGAGACAATCCCTGWAGYACCTTCCAACCCAAACCATTCCATSATTCTATGAAAGAAAGAAGAAAACTCTTTGTAGATGCTATTCACAGCCTTGGCACATCAGTCTGATGTACATCAAAGTATAGATTTCTTTATTTTCCTATTAAGGCCTTGATTTTGGAAAATAACTCCCATAGTGTGCCATCAGCATCAGGGATATTCCACCTAGACTTGAGGATTGTGCTGCATGGCTTGGTGCCTCTTCAGCTATTTATTACCTACATGATTTTACTGGTTTTCTGTTATTTAGGATRGCATATATTCAATGTAGTGCTGATCTGGAAAAGCAGCTTGTTTTGATATGGTTTTATTACATATAATGAAAAAAAGGAAAKTACTACTGGGTGCTTTGCATACATGGTTGTTTTTTGCATCCCATCTCTCTCCATCACTGCTTTTCCAGAAATAGAGATGGAGATAAAATATGAATAATATTTTAAATAACATTTTAAATAACATTTTATCTGGGACAATGCCACAGGCAAGTGAGCAGGATATTTCAGGCCAAGTGTAATGACTTCAAAASTTGGCTTTTGACTTTTCCGTTACCTGAAGAAGAAATCCAGATTACAAAGTAGTGATCARTTACATTCCTGGCAGCATTCAAAGCATACATATATTTATTGCTTCTCAAATGTGCTGAAATTAATTAACCAGATTTGCATACACAAAAACGCTTCCTTCCCCTAGAAATATTCATGTGTTTTACCCTGAACCTAATACCCCACAGCTTCTATAATTTGTGTTGTCACCTGCTAAGTAAAAACTAGTGAAGAAGAGATGCCTCTCTGTCCTGTCATTTCAGGAACAGATAAAAATGTATTTGCTTTTTCTCTGTAGCTTGTTGACCATTATTCCAGAACCAAACAAATTGCAGAACAAATGGTACTAGCAGCTAATGGATCTACACTAGCAGGTACTTTTGTCTAAACATGAGTTCATAGTAGAATTTACTCCTTCTGTTCTTGTTCCTCCCAAAAATCCTGTGTCCTGTATCAATCCTTAGTGGACAAGATTGCCCAGCAGTTATGAAGTCACCAAGCCCCTTTCACAAATTAGAGTAAACTTTCACTTAAAAATTACTTTTAATTTAAGTTCCCACAATGTCTGTAAAATGTTTTGGCATGGTAGCAGTAAGTTCAGCAATGGAAAATAGTAAGRCAGCTATAAATTAAACAAAAACAAGTGTTTCATTTCACTGTCTCAYGCAACATAAGTAAAACAAATGCTGATTAATTTGTTACATACCACACCCCCTCAAGTTATATATTAAAATCAGAAGGAGCCACCTGAGCCTAGAGCCTGGAATTATTTATTAGTGCTTCCCAAGTTTTCCATGTTGAGGAAGGCAGTTATACACTTGAATACTTAAGCTCACCTGTGAGATACTATAACTGCCAGTGTGAAACACATTAATGTAAAGTGCAACATGATTCTGTGTGACCAAGTGATACTGAGCTAAATTTAGCTGCAGACAACTTACAGAAAAGACTCTTCACTTGATACTTGCAGAGGGCTGTAAGAGATAAAAAGTCCACCATGGGAACCCATCCCAACAAAATTATTTTGTTTAAAATAAGACGGGTTTTTTTTCCTATATTTCCTTAGCAGCTCTTCACATTAAAGCCCCTCCTAATTTTAGGATCAATACACATTTTTGCATTTGTCAATGAAATTAGAACCACTCTGTGTTCCAAACAACCCATTTTGATCCCGTGCCATAGCAGGATTGAGTATTTTACATGTTTACAAGTACTATTAACAACAGTTATTAGCAGATGATGTTAGTCTACAGTTACTAGCAGGAAGATTCGATTTTTATGATCCCACTGAGCTTCTACCTCCCTGCAGTGGAAGCTGCAGCTGCTGKTGAGGGAACCTTTCAGCTCTATCTTGTACTGCTAACAAGTCCCTGCTTCCCATCAATAATTTTGTGGAGGATCAGTTGGTTTTGTTCCTCTGCTCAATATTTTTTCAAATAACCTGCTCACTTCAGCAAACTCATCACCACAGCTGGAACACTCATTCACTGCTCTGGCACAGGGACAAGGGACAGATTAGAAAGAGATTTTTAAATATCTGGTATTTTCTAGGAACACAACCATGACTGCAGGACTTCTCTGAATCTTATCTTGTTATTTTGCATGCTCTGATTCTCCCAARTTGCTATCCAATAGAACACCTTTTGGTATGTATTGTTTTTTAAGGTAGTGGAATGAATTTATTTCAGAGTAAGTTCTGCTGCTACAGCTTTTGGTTCATACAAAGATGCARTGGAGTCATGTGAAGGTCTCTTAAGAATGGTTTTATCCCATGTTCTAGGAGGTGGAACACTCCACACGTGTGTTCTTCGCCCACCTGGAATCTACGGACCAGAAGAGCAGAGACACTTGCCCAGGCTAGCAGTATGTMATTTTAATTTTTTAACCACTGAAGTCTCCTAGGATGTGGGTAAAGAGCTGTAAGGAGCATCACTTRTTTGTATTATAAATTGACTGATCTTATTGGTTAGCAGTTCAAAAATTCGTTTATCTGCTGATGATATTATAACATTTTTTAAAAAGGATTATACCTGTAGAGAGTGTAGATTTAAAAAGCCTGTTTTTTGAAATACAAGCACATGAAGGTCCAGCTTTATAATGTAATGATTATTCTAAGATTCAGGCCAATCCATGATATTTCAAATGTCTGTTCACATGCAACTTACACCAAATGGTTTAAAATATTAATGAAAAGAGATGCAGCAAAATATCTTATTTCCAGCCTCAACTATTAACAGCTTTTCAGTGTCTGATGAAGCCAGTTCCAGAGCTGGAAGCACCCTCTGGTACAACAGCTTACTGAGGCACTCGCATTTTACTCTTTTCACTTGCTTTTAAATTCCAGGGCCAACAGGCAACATTTACAACATGATCCCTGTAGAATTCTATGAGCCAATTCTTTTAAAAGGATCAGCATAATATGAAGTTAYAATAGCTTTGAGGAAATAACAGATTCAAGTTTACCACATAATATTTTTGAGTTACGGCTGAAGTAGAAAACTGTATTGGAGTCAGCCAAAATGTATTTTTATCATCTTGTAAATAATTTTAAGAATGGCAAATGTCATTTTAGTTAGTACCCTYCAGTTTTTCCTAGCCAAAGATATTCAATAAATTTGATCCAATTTAGTGAATACTTTTGATCCACTCAGATCTGTATCTTACCTTTCCATACAATATTTCACTTATCCTTAGAACAAACTTGTATTTTTGGTAAATTCAGGACGTATTGCAATACATTTTTTTTACATTTTCTCATGAACAGTATTTTTAGAGTTCTCTGTGCTTCCCTTGATTACTTTCAATTGATTAATATATTGTATTTTTTTATAAGTAGAGATAAACCTACATTTAGCTGGACAAGAGAGTGGACTTTACCTCATTCTAAAACCCATTTTGCTTTGATTTCATGTCCACAGAAGATTATTGAGAGAAGGCTACTTAGCTTCAAGTTTGGGGACCCTAGTGTTCAAATGAACTGGCTACACGTAGATAATTTTGTCCAAGCTCACATTCTAGCTGCTGCAGCTCTCACCCCYGAAAGGAACTACATAGCTGTAAGTACACAGTGAAAGCATCAGAGTTTTCATTTGACAGTGGATCCTGCCACTGCATCCTGTGCTGTAGTAACCACTGCATTAATCTGTGTTATTGTCATTCAGCTTCTGCTGTTTTCTGTGTTTTGAGTGATAAATGTGCTATGAGCAAAGTGGGACCGGGCAGTGTTGGCTGTTGGGGTTGGTTAAGAGATGGAATATTCAGTTCTGAAAGAATATCTCCAACTTTGCATTTTTTAAATGCAGTATTTGTTCTTTCTGGAAGATGAGCAAAGAACGTTTGCTATGTTGGAAATGAAACTGGAAGCCATTCAGGCAGATTTATCCCGTTGCCCTCTAAAAGTCCAGATGTAATGTTCTGAACTGTGATGGTCAGTCCTTCCCATGTGCCAACAGAAGCACTCATTTGGCTTCACTGCTTTCAAAAACAGTCACAATTGTTTCCTCCCTGTAAATACTGGTTTTTATTCACCTAGAAGCACTGACCTGTGAGTATATTGGAAAAAGTTTCAAAGTAGATTAAACTACTTTTTCCAAAACCCTAAAAGCAAAAGGAAGGTGGGARCCTAGACCTTGGCTACACAGGAGCCATGGAGTGCAACTGATTGAAACACAAGCAGTTTGTGACTGGCATGTGCATCCACTTTGATATTGCTGTATTATTTTTAAGCTATTTGTGAGGAGTGAGATAAAGTCAATATATATGCATGATTATTTTTACTAACTTGTCTCTTCTCTATCTCTTTAACAGAGTGGCCAGGTGTATTTCATTCACGAYGGTGAAAAATCCAACCTTTTTGAATGGTTAACTCCACTTGTACGTGCAAAACTAATCTCCAAGTACATTAATTTCTGTATGCAACTGCAGCTTTTGTGTGCATGTCACATTTTGTATGTTTGCTTTAGGTGTGAGAGTTCCACATGGAAYTCTCTGAATGTGGGTCTAATTCCTGCTTGAATTTTGGCGTAATTAACACTGTAACAAAGCTCATCTAAAATATTCCATTAAAGCCACTGTCTTCCTTGAGGCCAAAGGATCATCTACACCAGCACCCTGCCTGGAGCTGTTATTGTCTTTATTTTTGGGACATGCAGCTGGAATCGTGGCTACTTTGGGTGGACAAAAATTAGAAATCTTAAGTATTCATCTGTTCATTCTTTTCAAAATACCATTTTGCCTCAGAACCATAACACATCTTGATATTAAATTAGGTATCAGCACGCTATGACATTTCAATTAATTATTATAATTTTTTCATTCTTTTAAGGCTGACATTTGAAAATGACATAGTGTCTGTGGGTGACATTTAACTGGAATCCCCTTAAAAATGAAAGATAGTAAGAGCAATGATATTTTTTTCTATTTTAACAGTGAATATTTTCACAAATATCTTCTATATTGAAACTTTAAAACTTTTTTTAAGTTTCTGGGGTTTTTCACTGTTTTTAAAATCTTTTTCAGTTTGAAAGATTAGAGTGCAGTAAGCCATGGATACGTATTCCTACTTGCTTAGTGTATGCATCAGGTAAAATTTATCAACATTTCTCTTTCCTATCCATGCTACCCTCATTCCTAACTGTAGTATTTTATTTGCCCACAATTTTCATTTTCATGTATCAAAATAATGTGCTGTGGGCACACCTAGTGTTCAACAGTGTGAAATTCAGCTCTGTGCAGTATGTTGAAACCAGAATGATATCTTATTTAAGTACCACTATAACAGTTTTATGTATGACCTAATAGAGGTGTAACTTTGTGGAGTTAATGATAAAAAGAATTAAATGTAATAGTAAAAATCCATTACTTTATTAAATGCACAGAAGAGTATCTGCTTTGCTGTATGGGTAAATGTCTTCCTCTCTCCAAATCAACTCCCTTGTGTAGCTCAGACAGAATCTGAGTTCTCTGTTGCCAAATTTTTTCTTAAGCTTTTGTGACCTTTTGACTAGATCTGTGCTCAACCMTCCAAACCCCTTTTCCACAAGCACAATAATTAAGATGAATCCAACCCCTTGTGAACGAGTAGTTCTGATGGTGTGAGTAATGGTGGCCTGAGCTCTCAGATGTGTGATTATCCTTCATGAGCCTTTACAGTGTGATATGTCACAGTCATAATGGCAAAGCCATTTACCGTTCTTACAATCTTTTGTTATGCAGCCACACTCATGGAACACCTTCATGCACTTCTGATACCACTTGTTGACCTGCCCCCRCTGCTGACCAAAAATGAGGTAAAGTCTGTGTTTGTAAACTCCCCTTAATTCCCATGGGATACACGTGTGTTAGTATGAGGGGGACTTTTAAGACTAAGTCAGTAGAAAGCACAATCCACCCTGTGGTACATCAGTCTCCAGTTTCCAGGGCAAATATATATATTGTGTACAATTTAGGCAATCTGTTCTGCTTACTGCCATGATTTTTGGACAGAGCTTATGCTTGCAATCTAGGAGAGGCTTCTTCAGCTCCTCTCTTCCAAGGGCCAGTATCCTGTAAACTTGGCTGAGCCTTTAGGCACCTRGGAGATGGCTTTGATCTGCCTCTTTGACTACCTAGGCAAGAGAACAATTTTTTGTGGATGCGTACACATTCTACTTTGCATCTTTTAATGCCTCTTTATGCTCTCAGGATTCTCCTTTTGAGTGGACAATTGTAAAAATAATGTGCACAATACTCATAGGAGACTGATATAATATTGTGGGGGTTTTAGTATTTTACATTTCCTTTAACTGTGCCTTCACTACCCTTTACAGTTTGTTCCAGTTGCSTGTATTGATACCTTTGTATGTTGACTCTTTTGCCCTGTAGGTACAGAACATTTCTGTAACTCACACCTTTCGGATAGACAARGCACGGGCTCAGCTGGGGTACCGCCCGCAGAAGTTTAACTTTGCTGATTCTGTGGACCACTACATGAACTCCAGACCACAGCCCTCGAATTATCAGATCTTCCTCAATATTTTGGTTTCTTTAAGTATTACTTTAATTTTGTTTWTTCTTTCTGTAAAACTTGATGACCTTTCAGTTTTGTGTTTTTCAAAAGGAAGACGACACTGACCTGCATAAATGCAGTCACAGCATTGCTACCCGGATCGTTCTAACCTCCAYAAGAGTTACTGGCACAGTACAACAAACAGGCAGCCACTTTTAATTTTACAAATGAAATCATAACAGATCAGTGGCTGGACCTGAGAAATTAAAATACGGTAAACAATTATTACCAAATCACCAAAMCAACCAGAGTCAAGATTGTCACTTCTATTTCAAACCAAAACAACAACTTTTCAAATGGACTGCTGAACCTGCAGRAAGAACAAGAGCTGCAGCCACCCTGCAGTGCTCCTGCAGTAAAGAAAAAGAGCTGAAATAAGGAGAAAGACTGACCACAGCTTCTGTCATGACTCACTATGTTGGGGAACAGAGGAACAAGCAAAGGGACAGACAGATTATTGCAAWAACATGCACCAGGCCTACAGAGACTTCACACTGTGTGATTTTGTGAATTAGCTGTATTACTGCATCTGAGGGAAAATAAAAGTGTACTTGAAACTTTGCTGAAGTTTGTGCTGTGTCTCTGCACAATGTCCCAGAMCTGCTCCCTGCCCTGCCCCTCGTGCAAAGCTAGGGAGTATGTGCTGGTAGGGTTTTTCAGTAGTYAAACCTGGKTATTTTAGTTAAATTTGAACTTAC